CCCAATTTGAACACAACATTTAACTTATTTAATATTAATATTATCTTTATCTTTCACACACCAAAAGCAAGTTTGCCACACGAATGGATTTGAATTAATTAAGACAAAATCTTGGAAAATCAGTAGAACAACAACAAAAAAATAATAATTATCTTAGCCTTTAAACACGAGTTTTAGCCCAATTCATATTAATAAAAGGGTAAATATATAAAAATTCATCATAAATCCATATTTATATGTAATTAGATTTTTATTTTATGAAACACTAGTTCTAAAGGGAACATAAATTTATATGAAAAATATGCTCAGAATCAAATTATTATTCAAAATCTCAAAATTAAAATATCACTATCTATACTATATGAAAATCAAAATTTATTAAGAATTCGCTACAAGAAAATTATTCTACAGCGGCGTTTTTAGTGGCGTTTTGGAAGTAAACGCCACTAATTTTAAACATATTGTGGCGTTTACATAGAAAACGCCACAAAATTGCAACTTTAGCGGCGTTTCTATACAAACGTCGCAATAGGTTCATCAATAGTGGCATTTTTTCAACAAACGCCGCAACAGAGTAGTACTTTAGTGGCGTTTCTAGACAAACGCCGCAACAGAGTAGTACTTTAGAGGTATTTTTATACAAACGCCGCTATAGACTTGTACTTTAGTGGCATTTTTATATAAGCACCCTATACAATTGTACTTTAGTGGCGTTTTTATACAAACACCGCTATACACTTGTACTTTAGTGGCGTTTTTATACAAACGCTGCTATACACTAGTACTTTAGTGGCGTTTGTATTTATAAACGCCACAAATTTATAAGTCCTGCACCTTTAACCCTTTTTTCATTTTTCTCTGTTCACCCAATTTTCAATCCCGCCTTTTACCCAAACCCATCTGCTTCACTGCCAAACCCCAAACCCATCTATTTCACTACTATTTTTACTTTATCTCTGATTTTGATTCCCTCACTACAGCAAAACAAGTATATAGCGGCGTTTGTCGCGGCGTTTTCAAAGCAAACGCCACTAAATTTGTACATATAACGACGTTTATATCCAAAACGCCACTAAATGATAACATTAATGGCGTTTTTCAATAAACGCCGCTAAAACTCATACTTTAGTGGCGTTTATTCGACAAACGTCGCTAAAGATAAGTACTTTAGTGGCGTTTTTAAACAAACGCCGTAATAGGGTATATATATTGTGGCGTTTTTAGATAAACGCCGTTAAAACCTAGTACTTTAGAGGCGTTTTATGCAAAAATGCCGCTAAAACTCGTACTTTAGTGGCGTTTGTAAACAAACGCCGCCATAGAATTGTTCTTTAGTGGCGTTTTTAAACAAACGCCGTAATAGGGTACATATATCGTTGCGTTTTTAAATAAACGCCGCTAAAACCTAATACTTTAGTGGCGTTTTATTCAAAAACGCCGCTAAATACTCATACTTTAGTGACGATTTTAGACAAACGTCGCTAAAACCTTGTACTTTATTGGCGTTTAACCATTAACCCTTTCTCATTTTTTCCCCCTTAACCTATTTTTTCATTCCCGCCGTTTAGCCAAACCCATATGATGCTTCTTCGCCAATCTCACTTTAAGCAACGCGAAACAATTGGGGGAATTGAAACAGTGGGAATATGGGGGGAAAAACTGTGCAGGTGAAGATGAAGTGGAGCTTTCAGGGAGAGGTTGAATTCAGGAATTGGGCTAACCGTCTCGGGTGTGATTGGGATATCATGCAGCTTTCAAAACTTAAAAAAATTAAGCAGTAAGTGGGCTTGTTTTTTTTGCACTTGCTTTAACGTAGCTTGTAATCGTGGTCTTGCTGCCGCTCCAGGCTTTGCCTCCTCTGCATAATCACACTCACACTCACACTCAAGTGTGGTCAAATTCATTTCCATTTGAATTTCTGAGATTTACCCAAATTTTTATATCATCCATTTCCAGTTCTAAGATGCTATCTCGTTGTTTTCGCTCTATTTCACGTATTCCAGGAAACTTAATTCCCAACACAATATCTCATTACACACCCAAACCCCAAAACAATATCCCTTCTCATAGAACCACAACGATTTTTACTTTTGTACCACATACTATACCTTTTCTAGGTAACGATGTTTCTCATGTATGCTATTCTATATTTTGTTTACCCCAGTGACCATAATTGATTCACTTGGTGATTGATTGTAGTGGGCTGTTTTTCCTATTGATGAAATGGGTACATATTCTTTATTACAGTGAGATCTGTAGTAAGTATTCTTGATCCAGCTGCTAGGTTTGATGAGATGATCATTGGACCGCAGCGTAAGTATTACTTCCTAGGTGGGAAAGGAGGCGTGGGGAAAACAAGCTGTGCTGCTTCCCTTGCTGTAAAATTTGCAGACCATGGCCACCCTAGCATTGTGATCTCAACTGATCTTGCTCACTCCTTAAGTGACTCTTTTTCCCTGGTATCAATAAATGTTTATGTTTTTTAACTCTAAACAGAAAATGCTCAAGAATGGAAGTTAGTTTGTGGGACCCTTCTTTAACCATCTGCTTTGTTCATTATCTCAAGGATTTGGCATGAGGGAATCTTGTTTCTATCGATGGACTGAATTCTCCTTTGTTGGCTCTTGAGGTATATGGTATAAGGTTGAATTTTTCCACATTAGCTCATCATGTGATGCACATTTTTAAACCTTAGCAATATAACAGATAAATCCAGATAAAGCTAAAGAGGAATTTCAATCTGCAAGTCAAAAGAATGGTGGTAGCGCTGTCAAAGATTTTATGAATAATATGGGCCTTGGGATGCTTGCTGATCAGGTGGATACAAGTCTTGCACACTTATCATCCCGTTGCATTAAATTTAGAACTTGTGACTTTCATTCTGTTAATTATCATCAATAATGGAAGAAGAATCTGTTAAAACTTATTTTATGTCTGATGATATTTTGATAATTTTTAGTAGCTACTGGCGTGCGAACAGAATAATGGTCAAGGAATGGACTTGTGTCATAGCGCTGATTTGATTTACACTTTTGCTTATAGTTTTCTATTCTAACCAGGATTTTGAATGTGGACTTAGTTTTGGTTCCTTGAAAGCAATTTAAAGATTTCGAACGATATTGAAACATTTATTAGCTCCCTAGGTTGCATTCTGGCCCATGTATATCCCCCTTGTACCTAGTTCTGATCCATTTTTCCCTTTTTCCCCCCTTAACCTACCAACTTTATTTCAATTTTGTTTAAGATTTGTTCATTCATTGTTGTACCTGACATTTTTTGGTTACTACTTTAAAGTTGGGGGATCTAAACTTGGAGAGCTGTTAGACACCCCTCCGCCAGGTTTAGATGAAGCTATAGCAATTTCCAAGGCATGTACATTCTTTGATCCGTTTCTAATTACTTTTAGTGTTTTATGCTTACCTTCATTTGAGACTGTTTTTTATCCTAACCCTACAGTTTCTTGTAGGTGATGCAATTTCTTGATCTGGGTATATTTCTTTTCTCTTGTTTATTCTTTATTTTGCCTTTTTCTTTTGGTTTTCTGATCTGGGTACTTCTTGTTTTCTCCTTTTGGATTGATAATTTGATTTATTTGATGATTTTATGGGTTTTTTTAATCCGGGTAAGTTATCCCTCTTGCTCTTGACAATTATTACATTTTATATGCGATGCAGGTTGGGCAGATATGCTGTTGAATCTTACTTGGAACAAATTTTATCTCATGGGTTTTTCTATACTGACCCAATAAGATTTTGTGTTTATACAAATACCTTGGATGCTCAAGATATTCGAGTTTATTTGTGGAAATGCTAGGTGAAGGGGCATGGGTTGCTTATTATGTTTTGCACTTAAAATTGTAGCATATATATCATTTCATGCCGTAGTTTCAAAGGAATGGTGTGCTTTTCATTTCATATATCTAGTATTTCCTTTTAGAACTAAAATGTGTTGTAATTGGCAGTTACCTGCTTGATATAATTATTTTCTCAGATTACAAAATCAACTTAGTGAGTTCCTCCTTGCATAATTTTTCTTTGCTAAGCAAGAAAAGGTTTATGATACAACTATAAACCTAAATTACTGATATTAGAAATTGTTCCGCAAAAAAAAATGGTGTAGCCTATTAGTATATTCCCATAATTGGGAGACTTCTTGTAGCCTATAATACCTTTTTTAGGTATCAAGACCAATAGTTGTAGTAGAGATACATAAGCTGTAGTTTTCTATTTCCATTGATAAAGGAGGAAAAGATAGAGAAAAAAAAGCAACGCCTGGCTGCAATCAGTAATATATTTTATGCTTTTTATCTTTATAAATGTAAACTAAGGTTTTACACTCTTGAATGCATCAATAAGGATTTAATAATGCACCAACTAACTCGGCAAAGAGGACATGAGAACTTTTCATATTCTTCAGTGGGGAAGACTCACTAAGCATCTAATAGGTTAATTTGTTTTGCAATTTATTTGACATTTATAATACGTAGACATACATAAATAAGCAATCAGAGGAAAAAGATAATGTCTTATGAAAATGTTGCCTCCCTTGCAAGCTCTGGCCTTTTCTCTCTTTACACGAAAAATGTTTTTCATGTACACATTACTTGTGGTTCACTACTGAAAGCACTTGAAAACTTGAGTTGTCTTCCTTTATATGAGGTTCAGTTAAAAGTCCTTAGAAAGACCTTCATCTTTTAAGGTTGAACTATTTTTCTTCTGATATATTGATTTCCATTATATCCCTTTGAGTCAATATTTAGCTGTTTACCCTTTTATTTTTTCTTTAGTGGGTTACTGCTTCCCATTAATTTTACATTACATGAACAGGGGAAGATTTATTAACCATTGCAGCAGATCAACCCTTTCGATTCCCTGCCACATTCACATTTGTTGTCAGATCATTTTCAGGTAATACATTAACCTGGTGGCTTCATTTATATTTGTTCTGTATTGAACAAGAACTTAAGCACAACCTATTATTTCACATGCAGTATTAGATGGGATAAGGAAGGGCCTTGATCCTCTATTTGACATAATTGAGATTGCAAAACCGTGAGTGTGGTTTTATCTCTTTAAGATCCTTATAATTTTACTTACCTTATTATGGTTTAGTCATTTATTTTGTCTGTATATCTGATTATATTGCACTTTATTGCTTCTAGCTATGCACTGGAGTTGTTAAGATTCCGTGAAGCTGGAGTTGAAGTTGCCTTGAAGGTAATATTCTAATCTTCGATTCTAGATTTAATTGTATTTTTCATGATAAAGTTCCATTTTCATGATAACCTATATAAATATTTCAGGACTTCAGAAAGATATGGGACAGACAGCCCCGTGCATTCTATAACTTATTTGGGCAGGCAGATAGAGTTGAGAAGGTTGCTGAAACCATCCAAAGATTGGTAGGGTTCGAGATTCCTATAATATATTTTGAAAGGTTAAAATAGTTGTTGTGTTAAACTGTTGCAAAATGCTGCATATTACAGGAACAGGGTGATCTGAAGCTTAGAATGCAGACTTTGAAAGCTGAAAGGGCTTTCCAACGTGTTGATGTTGTTCAGAAGACAATAGGAAGTGAGTTATATTTTATAATTATATATATAATTTTTTTCTTTTTATCTAATTTTATAGTTTGGTATATGTTTTTAACCATGAAACCATTTAAAATTCCTTTAAACATTATTTTGCACTGCTGAATTATTGGCTTTCCCATATTTCCAAGTGGATGCAGGAAGTTTCTTTTTCTTTGGGTAACATTAAGTTCTCTTACATGCATCCTTCCATAGGTTGGCAACTTGTTAGCTAGGGATGTAGGCCCCGCATGATCCCCTTCCCCTACTGTACTTGCATTCCCTTGGCATTCTGTTCTAATAGGGCATTCTAGAGAACTTCGAAAGTGATGGGATTTTTTATAATAGAGTTTACGAGTTACATGATGTGCATGCTTTTCATGTAATCGTTGTAATGGTTTTAATGGTACCAGTGAAAATCTGACTTAAAGAAACTTAAAAAGGATGCAATATAATATATATCATATATTACTAGAATTGAAGGGTTTTATAGCTCACTGCATTTGGCTGTTTGTATACATTACTTCATATTCATGATTTTTAGGGCATGATGTTATAAGTGCAAATTTGTGATTTTGTTCGTAGATTTTGAAGATTAATTTAGATCCAAGGCTCTACTTTTGAACCTAATGTAAAACAAGCTAATTGTATACCATTTCTGAAACTAAAACAAATGGAAAAGTTGGGGTAAATATAAGCCAAGATTTATGAGGAATACAAGATTAAGTAGGGTCATGAATTCTTAAGGATTTCAGTTCTCCCTAGCTTTCCAAATATTATCTGTTAGTGCAATTACCCAATTGGTTTTTCCCTCTATGTTGATGAAAACAAGTTTTCTTTGCAGATTCTGAAGGATTTTCTGTTATGGGTTGACAAGGATCTTGGACCTTGGGGTCCACTTGTGATGTAAGTCACATTGAAATCCTCCTGTAATTTCTTTACGCTTCCATTAGCATCTATTTTTTGTTTACTTTATGCATTGCATTTGATTTGCTATTGTACCAATCTAATAAACGAAATATATATTGTTCATTGCTGTCAAGACATTTTTCAACTGAAAGCCATTGTTCAGGTATTTTATAGTGTACTGGTTCATTAAAATAAAGAAATATGCATTTCAACGCAGAAGAGAGTGTGTATACATTCTGTCCATCTCTTTATTAATAATATATGTGCATCAATAACAAAATGGTTCAGCGAGATCTAGATGGAAATTGATGTTTCAAGTGATGAGCATTGACTTTTTATTTACTTCCTAATCTTTCATAATCATAATTAATTATAGTTAATTTTGGTAAGTAGCTTGTATTTCATAATTTTCATTTGATATTATATTAAAACAAGAAAATTGTAAGATTTCTTTTATCTTCTTGTGGAAAATTCACCATTAACAAAGGTAGCAAACCTTTGTATATGTTGTTTATCTTAATTAGGAACAAGTACAACCCTTTTCTAGGTTCATAACAGTTCCATGAATTATGCGCTCCTTTCTTTTAAACATTGCTTTCAAAGTGCTCATATTTGTCTACTTGAATGGTTTATTTAATGTCCCTAGGTTTTATGTGACCGATAATTTTAGGCTTTCGACTAACTATGTAAATTATACAATTTGATTCAACTAACTTTTGTCAAACTTCCTGTTCTAGGACATGGCAGGGTTGATAGGCCATGAATTGGAGATTAAGCTTGAGGAGTACAGTAGTGGGAAGCCTCCAAATGTAACACATTTCTTCTTTCCCCTTTTCTGTATGACGAGAACTTTGAGTTTTATCACTAGTTCACTACTAGTGATGGTTGTAAATGGTCTGTTTGTGTGGTATAGACTATAAATTGTTCTTTCCCATCTTAGGTGTTATTATTGTTTATTCTAGTTAATAATGTTGAATTACATTATATTTTACGTAATTTAAACTTTGATTTATTATTATGGATTTCAAGTTTTTTGTTATGGATTTCAAGTTTGTGTTATGGATTTCAAGTTTGTGTCTTAATTAATATTTATGGTTGTTAATTAGATAAAGCTAAATGATATTAAATTTAGGTGTTGTAGAGCTTAAATTAAATATGCAAAATCAATTAATATTAACTAATGAAAGGTAATTAGCGACGTTTGTATAGAAAAACCCGCTATAAATCTCAACCTTTTGCGGCGTTTGTTCCAAAACGCCGCTATAGATCTGACCTTTTGCGGCATTTGTTCCAAAAATGCCGCTATAAATCTCGACCTTTAGCGGCGTTTGTTCCAAAAACGCGTTATAGATCTCGACATTTTGCGGCGTTTGTTCCAAAAACGCCGCTATAGATCTCGACCTTTTGCGGCGTTTGTTCCAAAAACGCTGCTATAAATCTTGACCTTTTGCGGCGTTTGTTCCAAAACGCCGCTATAGATCTCGACCTTTTACGGCGTTTGTTCCAAAAATGCCGCTATAGATCTCGACCTTTTACAGCGTTTGTTCCAAAAATGCCGCTATATCTTGACCTTTGCGGCATTTTTGTTCTCAAACGCGCTAACTTTAGCGGCGCTGGTATTGCCGACGCTTCTTGCGGTGTTTTTTCTATCACCGCGATTACTTTTAGTGGCGCTTAAAAACGCCGCTATAGGACAATAAAAACGCCGCTAAAGCTCTGTTTTGTTGTTGTGCCTTATCCACATTTCCCCCAACTTTCAAATCCTCATTTTTCATTATGTGAAATTTATCGTTAACACCGTCATCAGTCGTTGTTGTTCTTTTATTTTGATTTTGATTTTGATTTCGCCCTTTGCTTTGCTGCTTATTTCTCGCTGCTATAAATAACGACTCTATTTGTTTCATTTGTTTTTCCATTCCATTTAGTTTCAACGAAGGCAGAATCAGGAGAGAAAAATGAAACGTGCTTGTTCACCCCCACCGAGTCGGTTATGAGCACAACTTCTACAATGAGTTCTGCTTAAGCGCTCTCCGTGTCGACAGGGTCGAGTATGGTTTCGTTTCCTGCACTTTCAAAGTCCCTCATTGCCTCATCGTAAGCTGTCCCCAATAAAACCCTATCTCAAATTCCCTGGAATTAGAATTCTATCAGATCTGACTTATTTCTTTTTGTTGAATAAATTAACTTTGGTAGGATAAAAATGGGAATTTAGCAGCAGGGGCCATTACGTTTCTGGGAACTACTAAGTTCAATAACGAATTTCTAGCTCCTTTGTGTAGTGGGTTGCTTTTAATTTAGTACTGATCATGTTTACGATGCATCGAGTGTTTTCAGAAAGTCATTCACATCTGTTAATTATTTCTTGATTTTGGGCGTATTTTATGCTGCTGAATCGGTTAGCCAATTTGATCATGAATTAAAGTAGCCTGAGTTTTTGACCATCTGAATTTGGACCAATAGAAAGATATGCTAGTTGAAAATTGTAACAAAGGACGTGAGATCGGGTAATGTGTTTACCAGTTTAGGTTTTTCAATTTGATTCATCCTGGGTTTCAAATCTTCTTTGGATTTGAGTTAAGGGCTTTAGAGTGTTGATTTATATGATCAAATAGTTGAGTTTCGTAGTTTTTTTGGTTTCGAGTCAGAATTTGCAGGTCTAAACTTATATCACGCCTCTTGTTTTTGAAGCTGAAGGAAGAATTGAAAGAATATCTTTCTATAATCCTACTGGCTTTTCTGTAGTTGGTTCTCTTCAGTCGTGTATTATGATCCATTGCAGATTATAATCCCACTGGTCTTTCTTCTTTCACATTAGTTAATCTGTTTCTAAGAGAGTTTGGTTATACTGCTTTTAATACGATCGGAGGCTATTTGCAGGATGAGTTAGAGAGTACCTCAAATGCTTTAGGACAAAGAGGAGGTTATGATGGAACAATTGTTCTTGTTAGAAACAAAGCAACAGGGGAGTTAATTGCTAAAGGTCGGCATTCGTTACTATTATTACCTATTTACCTTGATCAACTAACTTAATATTTGATGGGACATATTTGAAATCTGGTTATACAAATATTCCCTTAAATTCAATTATATTTTTATCACTGCAGAATGTTGATGGTGGTTTTGCTACATATGAGTGAGAAGATCCTATTAGTGGTTGGAGGTAACTGCTTGACACATGGCCTTATAATTTATTTGAACTAGGGGAAATGAAAGTAGAGGAAAACTCTGCTTCTTGAGATGAAATCATTGTTTAGGAAAGATGGAGTTAACATATGTGCGATATACTGTTTGTTTATGGTTTAGCACTTACGTTACTATTATTAATTATTCTTAGAACAATTTAACCTTTATAATTGTCAATTTTTTTGCATTTTGTAATGTGGTCTGTATAATTGCACTGTTTCATGTTTCTCCCATTTTAAGTTGATCAACCCTGCTGAAACTTTTGGCGACATAGTTATCGATTACCTGTAAGTTCCTAGCTTACATTTTCTGTATAAGTCAGTTTTTTAATTGATTACATTCTGATTTGATGTTTATGGAGTGGCAACATAGATATGTTGAATGCACCTCAGCAGCAATTTAGGCACTAGCCTCATTCAGGAAATTATATCCTGAACATAGAACAGAAGAAATTCAAAATTGTATTGGTAGAGCTGTTGGGTTTATCAAAAAGATACAGGCAGAAGATGGCTCCTGGTTCGTTTAGAACTATTCCATAATCTATATCTTTTACGTGTTTACTTTGTAATTATTTGTCTTTACAGATTCTGCTACTTCGAGCAATTCTTCAACATGGCAAACTCAGTATCCATTGCTGAAGAACTTGCTTTGTGCTGTCATTTTTTGTAGGTATGGATCCTAGGGCATCTGCTTCAGTTATGCAGATTCATTTACTTATAAAAGGAGATGCA